TGTTTGGCCAAGTGTACTCGCTTTTTAAAAGCTCAGTTAGGAGAGTGGTAATAGTGTTGAAATGCCTGATGAAGCGACAGTAGAATGAAGCGACAGTTAGGGGAGCGGTAATAGTGTGGTCTAGCTTATGATGGCTTCGATTTATTTTTGTTTCACTTGAATGCCTGTGTTAGATACGATGTAACCCATAAAACATATTTGATTTGTCATGAAAGAACATTTTGTTGGATGGACATATAATTTCTCATTCTGTAGTACTTCAAATTCTGCCTTTAGGTGTTGTCAGTATTTCTCCTCAGACTAACTGTATACCATTATGTTGTCAAAGTAGACTACAACGAACTTCCTGACATTGTTGTAAAATGTCTGATTCATTAATCTCATGAAAGTGTTGGGCAGTTTGTCAGACCCAAGGGCTTGACTGTCCACTTATATAGTCCATCCCGTGTCTTGAATGCGGTCGTCCACTTGTCACTTGGCCTTATCCGTATCTAGTGGTACCCTCTTTGTAAGTTGATCTTTGAGAACAGAGTGACTTCGTGTAACTGGTCCAAGAGATCATCAAGGCGAGGTATTGAGAATCAGTACTTGATAGTTATTTTTTTGATGGCTCTGCTATCGATACACTTCCTCTATGACGGGTCTTTCTTGGGCAACATTAGGCGGGCACATCGCATGAACTGGTATTTTCTCTAAATAGCCCTTTGGTGACGTGATCTTGCACTTGTCGTTGTAGCTCTTTATATTTTGTTGGTCTTAGCCTGTAGGCAGGTCGATTTGGTAAGATTGGTCTTGGTTTAAGGTCTATGGCATGTTGAATGTCCCTCATTAGTGGTAGTCCCTCTTGTCGATCGTCTGTCATGATATCTTAGAAGTTTTGTAGTAGTGATTGTAGGCGTGCTAGTATTATTTTCTTTTTCTCTGACCCCTCAAGTAGGACTAGGGCTAGTGTAATCGGTGCATCTCGAACTGACTGCATGAAAGTGGCTCTCGAAACGATTGCTTCCTCAGCGTTGTTTACTCTAGTGTCTTTACTTGGTAGTAACACGATGTGTTTGCCAAGGTCGTCCTAGGAAAATATAACATTCATCCATGGGAACGACATCCCACCATACTTGTTCGTTTAACTGGTTGCTTATTCTGAACTCAACAAGGCACCGTTGATCCACACGGATTTCATTTTTTTTGTTCAGCCAACTAAGAGAGTGGGATCGTGAATGTTTCTGTGTGGGTAATTCTAACTTTGTTAACATTAGTGTAGATACAATATTTTCACAATTGGTACTGTCTATTATCAGGATGCAAACTTTTCCTTTTGTTGTACACTTTGTGCGGAAGATGTTGTGTCTTAGCCATGACCGATCGTGTGTTGGTTATGACTATAAAACTTGCCCTATGGCTAGTAATTCGTAGTAAGGCTTTCTTCCCACTAAGTGATTTTGTCTCTCTCGCCCCTTGTTCGTTGTTATTGTAGTTTGTCCCACCATAACGAGGCGTGCTTTTTCACTTTAGCTGCTAGTTTGATCCGCTTATCTTCAGATATCTCCTTATATTATAATGTTCGTTCGACTGCTCTCAGGCAATTAAGGAATTCATCTGGATCCATACCTCCATTGAATCCGGGAAGACCTATTTTAATGTTAAAATCGCGGTGGTCTCTGGGCTCTTCTCGTGATCTCCTCTGGTGTTGGATGTCAAAACGACATGAGCGGTATTCCTTGTCGCTGATATCTTCTCTGTGGAATGGATTTAGATTGTCCTCCCTGTCTTCTTGTCGACTCTCTAGGTCACGATTGAGGGTGACCCTGCCTTGGGCCCCTTCGTCTAGTTCTGCCAATTGTTGTTGCAACTGGCGGATTTCACGTTGTATTGCATCCTTGGTGGGATTTGGAACGTTTCTCCTGGGGGGCATAGCTGAAGGCTTGGATGAGAAGAAGGCAAGGAGAATGGGGGAGAAGAAAGAGGGACATTGGGAGTGACAAATAGAAATGAAAAAAAGGGAAATGAGAGAAAAGGACAAGAAAAGGAAGGAAATTTTTTTTTAAGCTTGGGTAGGGGTGCGAATGCTAGGGATCCCTAGGATAGGACTATGGTTAGACTAGCTCTGATGCCAAATGATACTGGAGGTATCCAAAACCACAACTCAAGGCACAATTTTATTTAGGACTTAAAATAAGGTTACGAAATGAAACACACAGAGCAAAAATGAAAAACACGGGATTATAACTAATGACTCAACAAAGAAGACGCAACAAGCTTGATGTGGAGGGAATCCGACTAAGTGATGTTGGATCGACGACTGCGATGAAGGCCAGAGAGGTGTCGGGTTGCTGTGGGGAGAAGTAGGATAGGAGATCAGCGATAGTAAATGCATCGAACCACGGGTGGAAAGGAGAAGGAACATCGTTGAAGGCTGTAACTAAAGAGACAACGCATGGCGGCCTACAGGAGGCAGGGAAAAGATGTGGCATGCTGGGGCAAGGTGGCGGCACAGTGCCTGCAGTGACAAGGAAGATGTGGCCTGTTGGTGGCAGGGTGACGACATAATGCTTGCAAGGACAGGGAAAAGGGAGGAAGAAGGACAATTGAGGCTGAGGAGAAAAGACCAAAATTGCGGGACTGAAGGAAGGACGCCTACAGTGTGAGGGATGCACTTGGACAACCGGAGGGCTTGCTGGAAGCAGGGAGAGGGAAAGACGGCCTGTCCAATGAAAGGGCAACCGGCTGGAGGGTAGGTTGTTGGTTAATGCAGGAGGAAGTAAAGGGTGTGGTGACCTGCAAGAGAGCAGGAAGGAGGTGCAACAGTGATCGGGTGGTAGGGAAGCTCCTTGTGATGGCTAGAGGAGATAAGGGAGGTGCAGTGGTTTGGAAGAAAAAAGAATGAGCACTGGAAGGAGCAACAGGGAGGTTGTGGCCTACAGTGAAGCTGCAGAAGGAGGTGCAACAGGTGCAGCTGGAAGGGGGCAACGGGGGTCGCGGGCTGTCTTGGAGCAGGACGGAGTGGGAACGAAAGAGAAAATCGCCACCTCAGACAGGGTTACAGTCGGAGCACCTCCTTTGTCGTCGGATACAACCCTCAAGAGGGGAAAACACTAAGGCAATACCAAATTCAGATTCGAAAACAAGTCCCCTAACTCTAAGCACATCATTTCCTATTTAGAAAGAGGCTTTGCCTATTTTAGGAAACACTTAAAATAGGAAAGGAGAATAAATTGGTATTACAAATTTAGGAAAGAGTTTTAAAATAAGGAAGGAGAATAAAATAAAATCAGAATTATAGATTTTAGGAAAGGATTTAGATTAGCAAGGGCCTAGGAAGGAAAGTAAGAAAAGATGGAAAGAAAAGGAAAAGGAAATGATGGAAATAGGAAAGGGGGGAAGAGGAATGAGGGCATACTCTCTCTGGATTAGTTGGATCTTTATGATGATATCTTGTTAGTAATGGGGGAAAGCTTAATTTGTGCTTGATTTTTCTTTTCATGTTAGACTAGGTGGTGATCTTTTTCCTTTCTCATTGTTGAATACGCTTCAGGTTCTCTCATCACAACGAAGCATTCTTTCTGAGCTTATTGTCTTCCAATTTAATTTTTTTATCTTAGGGAGCATCTTTGTACTGAAAAAATTGTCCCATTGTTTGGAGTCACTCGACGAACTTCAAAATCCAGGTTTCCCTCTGATATTTCATGTCAACTCTTTGTGGTATTAGTGCTTCTTCACCGGAAGATTTCTGATGGTGGTGATTCACTTTCTCCACTCTATCTGGTGAGCTATTGTTGTGGCTATAGGTGTCCTCATCAAATTGTCTTCTCTTAAATGCATCAAGTTTATGTTGTTGTTGGAAGATTTCTCGCTGCACATCCTTCATAGTAAGTTCCTGGGCACCTTGTTGAGGGTTTTTCCTGGGTGGCATGGCGTACTTTTTTTCGATTAGGTTTTCGGCCTTTGTAACTTTGCTAATAAAGGTTGTGCGGGGGGTTTGATTATGGTGGTAAGTGTCGGGGTGGAATTTTGGTGAAGGTAGTAAAGCTTAATTTTGAAATTTTAGAGTTGGGCTAGGAATTGTGGTAGGAATGGTTTGGGTATGGTGGGAATTGTTTTTTTTTCGAATTTTTCTTTGCAAGAAATATGGGGTTTGCCAAGCTTTGATATCAGATAACACTTGTTCTAGGAAGGTGTGAGAGAACCGAAGAAAGAGATAAATAAGTTGTAGGACGGGTAAGTAAAGCGGGAGGAATGATGGCGGCTAAATTCTGGTGTGAATGGTGGCGGGACAGCGAACTGGAAGCGGGAAACTGCTGTTTTCTGCAGCCGAGCAGCAGTCTTTTGCTTTCAAACTGCAGGAGAGAGCAAGTTTGATGCGAAAGAAGGCTTCGTATGTCTAGGAAAGATCACCACCTCAATCCTACCGGTTACAAATACACCATTCGAAAGAAATCTAAGGATAAAATACTCCAATAGAGAAAATCAGGAGAAAACATCTCCAAATGACATAAGCATTGCCAAGAGTCTGCTAAATCAGAAATTAACAGCATATAAATAGTTCTCACGCAAAAGATGCTTAATTCTAATTAAAATAATATTAAAAAAGAGATCTACAAGGGGCAAACAGCAGCTCATGAGGGAAAATCCCGCTATAGCCCACCCTTACTGGATTTCGCGATCCTCGGTTCCCGGGATTGTGAGATTCCGCGGTTCCCGGGATCGTAGAAATCCCGTAGGTGGGAGCTCCTGCATCACCACTTTTTTTAATATTGTGAATGTTTATAAAATTGTTATTCAGTCCTTGCTTATTTATTTATTTCTATGGCAGAGGTTGCGTTTCCAATAAATCGTGATTGTTGACCTTAATTTTTTTTTTCCTGAGTGGCCAATTTGACATACAGCCAATTATACACACTTTTTCGCATTTAGCATTTGTTTCCAAAGTTTCAATCTAATAATTCCATGTTGTTGTTTAATAATTAACATGATAAAATTGAGTCACTTAGGATATTCTGCAGGCAGGTACAACTCTTATGGATGAAATGGATCTTCTCAGTGAGCAGATCAAGATGTTAGCTGGGGAGGTAGCTCTTTGCACAAGTTCCTTAAAAAGATTAGCAGAGCAAGCTGCCAATAACCCTGAAGATTCAAATATCCAGGCATGCAAAATATTTTTTACTTTATAAGCTTTCTTTTTATAATTTATTACTCTGTTGCCTATATTCAGCTCAATATCAAGCAAGCTACTTTGACACCATTCTAGGGCTTCTAGAAGGTGTTATAGAACACAAAGGGTATTAGAAAAGTTGTGAGATTGATTACGTGAGTGGGGAGAATGGATGGCGGCTGAAAAGCTGCGTGAATGATGATGGAGAAACAGGGCAATTTACTGCTGCAAACAGCTGGTGGCAACGGTTTTGATGGCTGTTTGGCGGAGAAAAACTGTAGTGAACGGCAAATCGGTGAGGTGCGGATGGTGGGAGGGATCCACCATTTGCTCCTGGGTAAACTACAAACACACCACTTGTGAGAGGAAGAAGCTACAACACTCCAGAGAGCACAAAATCAGAACTCTTAAATTATATGAAAGCAAGCTGAAAATTCCAAAACCAGAATTCAACATATATAAAGGTCCTCTAAGAGAAAGTAATCTAATTAGAAACTAGAGAAATAAGACCTAATCAAAAAGAAAAGAAGTAATAGAAGGAAATTTGTTGAAAATAAAATAGAAATAAATTTCGATAATGCCTTGACTGAATCACGTTTGAGGGTTGCCTGCTATCTCGTGGAACCTGTAGATCCTGAATCCTCTGGAGACAGGATCGTGTGATCCTGTCATTATTAGGCTTCTGCGCATACTAGTTTGAAACAACAAAACCATCTTTGTAAGTTTACTTCAGCGACCATACATATAAGGTTAGAAGTATGAGCTTGTGTTGACCTTGACAGCCATTATCTTATTACATTTTTCCTTTGAAATTGTCATTTTATTTTTGTTGCTCATTAGCTTGACAAATTCATGGCATTAGCTTCTAATTTTTCTTATTCTATCATTTATTTGGTTTTTTATCAGCTTTTAATTTTGAAGTTTCTAGAAAACGTTGATGATAGTCCAGAAGACCGTTTAGGATGAGTTCATTTAGACGTAATATATATTTTTTTTTAATTCTCCAATTTGTTCCCGCTGCTTTTTAAAACTCGACTCTTTTTAGTTGTCGGGGGACCAAATTTGAGAAGGAGAGAAGTTAGAAACTGAGTGAACACACTTTACATGGCTTTGGAACCAATTTTGTCTTTTTTTTTATTATTAATATTGTTCATGCCTTAAATCTCATCTTATTTTCTACTTATCTCAGAATGAGCTTCATTTGTAAAATTGTGCTTTGTATTACAATTAAAATGCAGATTAACGTTTCATATATGCTTATGAAATATGTTAATTGAGACTTTCTTCTAAATCATTGTAGCCTATTTTGTATATATTATGTTTTACGAAATCATTTAAGATGGTATTTTCTTTAAGATATTGCTACTCGCTTTATTTGAAACTAATTTTGACTGTTTACTTTCTGAAACTTCCTTTATCCCTGGCTTCTTGGCTAGAAACATGGCAAATGGAGGCCATTGACATCTTCGGAGTAGGTGTGCTCTTGCTAGATTTGTGATGTCTAACCATTTTTTTTCCTGCTGCTAATATCAAGCATACTTAAAGCTGCTTCTTTCTTTAATGATAATTGAAATTTTTCATCAAGGAATTTGAACATACATTAGGTACAAAACACTTGTCAATTGCTGGGGTTTTTTGACTTCCATTGCCACTTTGAAAAGGCATTTGTTTGTCACATTTTTGTGTAAAATGTAATTGTCGTTGTATTTGTCCCTTTTTTCATTAGTGTTGCTTTTTTCTTTGTTCAACAATGTTATTTCGTTTTTAAGTTTTTTTTCTTAATTGTTTGTTCATTTTCCAAACATATTCAGAGATAAATATTTAAGTATTCTACTTCTACGTTTTGAGAGGTTATAGAAATAATTCCTTTTCCCATTAGTTGAAACCAAACCTCCACTTTGGAACCAAGGGGCGCTCTGCTACAAGTCGAGTGGTTATTCCTGGTTAATTATTGTCACTAATTAAATTTTCTTAACCAAGTCTTTGCTGATGGGAAAGATATTCATGATTAGTGAAATTTATTTATTTCTTTTAATTCAGGAGCAAATGCAGAAGTTAGGAGATGAAATAAATGAAAAGAAGCAACTGTTGCATTGTCTTGAGCAGAGAATGGTTGGATCTCGTGAAGATGCTCCACATTCATCAAATAGTACTAAAACAACACAGGTTGAATGCTTCAGCCTTCTATGATATCTCACACACTGTTTTAATTTAGACAGTATTCCATGTGATACATGTTTTACTTGTCTTGTTGCATGCATTCATTTCTGTAAATTTTCATTCTTATATTTGCTCAGTTTTTATAATTCTATTTTATGGTTTATGTTCCTAGATATGCTTCTCTTTCTTGCGCAATCTTTATTTAAAATAACCTGAAATGAATTCAGACATACTTAACTTCATATTATCCTCACTATAACGTCATTTTACATTTTTTAGAATCTTTCAACACTGGCCACTCAGTTGAGTGAGAAGGCATTTGAGCTCGAGGTTTGTTTCCCTATGATATTTGCTATAGGTTTTACTTTTGTTCTCAAAATTATTTTAATTTGTCTTGATTTTAACCCGCATTGTGTAGATTATGTCTGCTGATAATAGAATTCTTCAAGACCAGCTACAGATTAAGGTTCGAACTAATGACTTCATTTTGAAATTGTTATTGGTGGAGATTTACTTGACATCATCTTCCTAATGCTCCTTTTTCTTTTTTAATTTGTAGATATCTGATAATGCCAAACTTGAGGAGACTATTAAAACGCTAAATGAGGAACTCAACTATTTTATAGGTAAAACCAAAGAAAATGAACATAGCGTCTGTAATAACACTTTGGTCAACTCTTCAGAAAATGAGGTGAGAGGGATATCCTTGCTGACTGAATCTTCTTCGATGGGACTTCTTTCGATATCCACAAATGAAGAATCTAAGGGAAGTGGTAGTGAGCTGTTGCTGAGGTCCCAGGTTCTCACACAGGTAATGGTGATTGCTTTTCTTTGTGAATTTATAAAAATCATCTTTAATTTCTGTTATTTATAGACTGAGATTCTAAAATTTACTTAAGGCTGCTGAGATTGAGAATCTGAAACAAAGAAGTTTGAGATTGGCTGAAGAAAAGGATGGCCTTCAAATTCATTGTCAAAAGCTGGCTGAGGAAGCTTCTTATGCCCGAGAATTGGCTGCAGCTGCAGCAGATGAGCTTAGAAATTTAGCTGAAGAGGTTACAAAACTTTCTTATGAAAATGCTAAATTGACAGATGACTTGGCTGCCTCTATGGAAACAGCTACTCGAGTCAGTAACTCTCAGAGGCGTGTCTTGATTGATGGGAAGGATACTGATGATTATTTCAAGAAGTCGGATGACTGTGTTCTTGTTGAGGAATTGAGGAAAGAGCTATCAAGAAGATGCGAGAGAGAATCTTCCCAAGAGGCTGCTTTGTCTGTTAGAGATCAAAGGGAGGGTAAACTTAAAAAAATTATTGATGACTCCAAACAAACCGAGCAAGAGTTAGAGAATGAACTTACACGTATGCGGGTACTTGTTGCCAAGCTTAAAAGAAATGGTATGGTATCTGATGAATGCTTTCCTGAGTGGCTTGATGAACCAAAATTTCATTCATTAAGAAATGGTTCTTCAATAACAATTGGTTGTTCTAGAGCAAGGTTTAATGGGGAAAGTTTCTCTGATTGTTTGTATGAAGATCAAGTGACCAGCTTTGAGGAAATGAGATCTGCTTTAGAATATGAAAGAAGGCGGTGCAAAGAACTTGAAGGCATTATTTCTAAGTTAAAGGTTTGTTTTTCTCTCCTTTATAATAGTGTGGCCTTCAATCGTGATTTGCCACAGGATTTCAAGACTTTTTTTTTATGTTGTTGCCCATTTTCTTGCTTCTGGATTGGTCAAGTTATCCTGAACTAGTTGTTCGGTAGTTATTTCATTGTATATTAAGTTTGCATGTTACTGGGGACTGTTTCCCTTTTAAGAAATAGCATCCGCAGTTTTAGTGAAGATGCGATAAGTAATTTGAATTGTCATCTGAATTTGATTTTATTTATTAAGAGCAAACTCGACCTCGATTTACTATGGGTTGGAAAAATTTTCCGTGTGATCTATCCACGTATAGAATTCAAATGTATGATTTATGGCTTCATAGGTATCTTATCTTTCTACATATTAGATGACGCTGGAACTCCCCTCCGTGAACCTCACGTGAATAATGCTACAATACCACGATCATACAACATTGTTTCTACACCTGGATCAAACCAGTTTCGTCTTTTCGTTGTTGTGGGGTCAGCCGACCCTCCTGGGCGACTTCTCGCTATCCTATTATTATATATTTGTATTTCTAATGTTTTAGCATTAGTTTTTGGTATGAGTTTTGTTTAGTACAACCGTCAGCATCCGTTCTTCCCCCTCAGAGGAATGTATTCAACGGATTGGGTGATACTCCGACTATATCCCTCTCTTGAGGTGGTGATTATCATCCCATATCCCCTTTCGTCTCCTCCCATATCGCTCCTGGCCACTCTGTCCCTGCTGCAGCTGCCCAAACAGCTAGGACAGCTTCCTGTAGCTGTCTTCCCTTCAGTTTTTTCCTTCCCCTTGCTTTCCCTGTCCCCTACCTTCGCTGTTGCAGCTTGCAAACACTTCCACTTGCTGTCCGCTGCCAAAATCGGCACCCATACCGAGCCTCCCTTTCTGCCCTCATCCCAGACAGCTGCGCCACATCAATATCAGCTGCGTGCTTGCTGTCCGAAACTTAGAAACTGACATTTTTTTGTCTTTTGTTTGTCGACCACTTCATCCACATCCCACCACCTTCCAACCCTCACTGACCCATCTCCACCACCCTTGATCCAACCCTAGCCCCACCTTCCAACCCTCACTCTTCCAACCCTCACTGACCCATCTCCACCACCCTTGATCCAACCCTAGCCACATGTCGTGTGTCGGGTGTGTTTTGTTTCCTACTTTCGTCTAGCTGGTTGTAATTTTCCTTTCAATGTGTTAGTTGTAACAACTTTATCGATATTCCAGTAATAATATTTAATTTTTCTATTATGATTTGGGTTAACTCCGGTATCATTTGTATTAGATCTAGCATAACCCTGGTTCTATCGTTGGGTTTCTTAGCATCCGCTTTACCCCTTCGCCAAAATTTTCTTTTTTTTCCCAAACTATAGCCAAACCTGTGATCTAACCTTAATTTCCCCTTGTTGATTAACCTTAAATCTTTTTTTATGCCCTCCACCTCCCACTCCAAACCCTACCCTACCACCAAGGAGATACATGTCCAAGCCTACCCGAAAGAGATACAGTGGGTTATCCTCCGACTTCAGCGGAGCCTTACGGGCATTGAGGATGAACCTAGGAGAAGATTACCCTTAGCTGTAATATGGAGAGTCGAAGGGAATAACGGGAGAATTTGAAGATGAAGTGGGAGATACAACGCCAGTTCTTACCAATTTACTACAGACATAATGTTAATAGTCTAGCTTCAAAAGTGGAGGGACTACATCGGCGAGTGACCATCTCACCTTACAGGTAGAGTTTAACCTCAAGATCTTACAGCCAAAGTATACCCAGGAGAACACCCATGGCGACCCCCATCAGAGGAATTGCTGATGTGTTTAATTCTTGGTCTAATTTGAAGTCAAATGTGACCCAAACATAAAACTCTCAAGCTGTCACGATCCGACCCGGAAGCTTAGAATATTAAGGCAGGATTAGATGGTCGAACGGATGAAGAAGTATCTAAGCATTTTCATTTTTAAACAAATGCATCTAAAACATAAAAGAGTCGTTTTATTTTGATTAAATTTTATTTTACAACCGTTTGTTCAAATTTAAACATTACATTTGTATGAAATGTAAAACTGAAATGCTAAACTTACCTCCATGATCTCGTCAACGGCTCTATACATTATCTTTAGGATCATTTATTCTATAGAAGATTTTCTAGAAAAAAATATTAGCAGCTAAATGTATGAATTAAACTATTCAATTGGTAAATTATCTCTAAATTACAGTAATTCACATTTTAAAAATATTTTTATAAAAAGGTATTTACTAGTAAAAATTGAGACCGTATAGAAATCAGTTTTCCGATTATTTTTTCAATTACAATATCCATCAATGGGATTCGCCATCAAAATCTATGTTAAAAGCACATATTTAACATTTTCCGAAACCCACCAAAAAGGGTAACTTATTTTCATTTTACATGCACAGGTACATTGCATTCTCAATCAATATTGTACTGCGGTGACTCCACATATACATATGTATATATCATTGTTTTTTTTTTTTTTGACATTTAAAAAAAGAGAAACCTGTATTTTTAAAAGAAAATTGCTAAAAACAGTTGCAATTGATTCATAAATAAAAATAACTATTGTAAAGAAAAAATATATTTACTCACTTGTTCAACTAGTCAATTGTTTTTTTTCACTTATTAACTTAATTCTTTGGCATGCATGCAATAATACATTGACTTTTATTAGTCTCTATTCATTTTTTTCATTCTTTCATGTTAATCTAAACGAAAGTTAGTTTTAAGTAGTTATTTATGCAATTTCTTGTCTTGAATTTTTCCATTCTCTTGTGTAAGGGTAAGAAGTGTTATTTTTTTGGAATGTCCAGAGTGTGCAGAAGTTTGAGTGTGGTATAAGTTTTTCATTTCTCCTAATTTTTTTCTTATTGGATTTCTTGGTGTGATTTGGCTTCATTTTTTTTCCCGTTCTTAGGTTTTTACCCGTTAAAGCTGATGTTTTTTTATGCTATTTTGTTTTGTGCACTTTTGTTCAATGTTTTATCTCAGATCCCTTGAATTAGTTTTTGTAGTTTACATCTTCCAACAAGCTTAACACTAATTAGAAATCCAAATACTAGATTCAGTTTTTTTACCAAAAGTCTCAGAACTCTTAACTTTCCTCGTCACCTTATTGTTTCTCACGTTTTGCACATAAAAACACTCGTTCAAGTGTCTCCCGTGTGGGAGAAAGCTCCTACGAGCCGCTTCTTTGCATTAGGGAATAGAAACGCTCACTCGAGCGTCTAAAGCACGCGGCTCACCTCAGAACACACTAACGAAAACATGGACAAAAGAATCTTGCGTGCCGCTCCCTATTTCTAGAGATTGCAAATGCTCAATGAAGCTTCTCTTGATTGCAGAAAAGCCCTGCACGACTGCTAGAGATGTGTGTGGTCTCTTCTTTTTTCTTTTGCTCACACATCTGTGAAATCGTCGATGCTATGTGAGGAAGGTTGGTGTGAGTCGCGTGAATTGTTCTACAAGGGTTCTCGTTCATGATGGCGGCATTCACACGATTGAAATAAGCGAACCTCACGCAATATGCCCTTCGATTTTGCCTTGTATGACTGCCCCAAGCTGCTTCGTCTCGTTCAGGGCTTGGAATTATTAAGTTGAGAACAGATAGTCGGACGTTGGTAACTAAAGTTTATTTATTTATCATTCAATAAATGAAAGAGTCACTATCCAAATTAAATTAAAGTAGTATAATTAAAATTTACTTTGTTACTAGTTTGCATCATCTATAAACATTTTCTTTCTATCGCTTTTCTTTTAATCAATTAATTAAATATTAAAGGTTAAATTAAAACAACAATAAACTTAAACATAACTACTCATATTCCACAACTACAATAATCTAAGGGAAAAGAAAGTAACATGCATGATAGTTAAACATTTAATAAATTAATATAACTATTTGATTTTATTCAATGAATCTTATTATATCAATAACATGTTATATCATTCTATATAGGTACAACCTTCACAAGAGCAACGTCGAAAAACTGTAAAACCAAAAGTATTTCAATATCAATATTCTTTTTTATTTACATGCACGGGTGTCTTAGCGTTCCCCTTCTAGTATCATAAAGAGGTGATTCCATCATTCAGTCATGCGTATAGATGCATACTATAGAAATATCACTTTCTAATAATGAATATTTTTTTTCTAGTTTGCATAGTAGTCAGTATTCTTATACATGATCCAATATCTATGATAATTTAAATAAAGGTGAGCACATATGTCATTCTTACAATATGAATAAAATTCAATGAAACCATAAATCATGGGCCTGCAGTGCTATAACAGTAACAATAAATGTATTTGGTCAAGACGAAATAAAATATTACTAGAGCAAAAGAATATGAGTGCTCAACTCGATGACAATTAATTTGTTATTTGATTTAACTTGATGTCGACTCCTAAGATTAAAAAAAATATCATGGTATTCATATTAAAATTTAATCTATTTATTATGTTATTAATAACTTCTTATTATTTCATGCTTATTTTTTATTCAATATTATTATTATTATTATTATTATTATTATTATTATTATTATTATTATTATTATTATTATTATTATTATTATTATTATTATTATTATTATTATTATTATTATTATTATTATTATTATTATTATTATCACTTAATAAAGAAAACCACTCCTACCTCTTTTTGTCGACGTCGCATGAGGAATCTCCTTCTACTCTTCTTCGATGGCTTGTTAGGGCACGCGACAGAAGGATTCGTTCATTGCTCCTCTCTTGTCCGCACTAAGTTTCCTTTGGCTCAAGTGCTAATGTGTCTATTTGTCTTTGATTAATCTGATTTTCTTTATCGCTTCATCAACTAACTTCGGACCTAACATGTGACATTCACCAAGTTTGAGCCAACTCAATGGAAGTCTGCATTTCTTGTCATACAATGTTTCATAAAGAGTCATTTTGATACTGGACTGATAGCTATTGTTGTAGGCAAACTTAACCATCCAAATGTGATCTTCCCAATTGTCTCCAACGTCGAGAACACAAAACCACAACAAATTTTCCAATATTTGAATTGTTTATTCTGATTGTCCGTCAGTTTGTGGATGAAATATATTGTTGAAATGCAACTGCGTACCCAAACCTTGGTAAATGTCTTGCCACGACCTGGATGTGAATCTTTCATCTCTGTCGACTTCTTCTCCTCTCGAACGAAGTTCTCTGCCCTTATACAATGACTTATGGAAGTTCTTAGACCCTCTCGATGCTTCCACCTTACATTCACACTGCTAGGCTGGGGTCGAGTCTCGGGTAAGAGAAGAAGCACATGTTCGTCCTTCTTCCTATTCTTGTTCACGCCTCTCTTTTACTGTCATTGCTTCTTTTTCCTTCCTCTCGGCTAGTGCATGACTTCAGACTCTGTCTTTCTTGAACCCTCGGCCAATCGTTCTCTAGTTCGAAGGAGGGGAAGTTTTGAAATAAGCATGAAATAAGTTTTATACGAAGGTGTCGTCTTTTCTAACCACCGACACCTATATATTTATTTTATTTATTTATTTTTTATTATTATTCGGTTATTACAATTTTTAGGGTTTTGTTTCCTCTTGCTCGTCAACCGGGCCGACTAGCTCACTTAGCACTTCGAAGTGTGCTTACGTTGCAAAGCGCACACTTCGCTCACAAATGTTGTGCGAAGCGATGCCCTCTTTGCTTTGTGTCACGTGCTAAGCACTCTTTTAAAAACATTGGTTGAGGGTTCAAGTAACACCTAAGCAAATGATAAGGAAGTAGAATGGTCAGAAAAAACTATATATAATCACTTGGCCATCCTTATTTAATTATGGGAATAAACCTAAGATCAGGGTTCTTATTGATTTTAGGCATCCTATTAGAGAAATAGTAAAACTCGAGTTCATCTCATCTTAATCAAATTATAGAAGATAGGAACAAGAGATGTAATCCTAATCTATTCTTTATCCAAAGCATATTTATTGTTTACTTGTGCAATACAATTCCTCCTTTTTATTTGCTTCTGCTGTCTCGCTTGGACATCTTTTTCTCTCTCGAATCCACAAAAGAATGACAGAACATCAACGATCATTAACCTTGAAAAGGCAGCAATCTCGAAGGAAAGATAAGCGACAGCGTCATATCTTCACGTGCAAATATGTAGCCGTGCGGTAATACTATCTGTTGAGTAGATGGTCTTCACCGTACCCAAATTACCACCATTGTGTAAATGTCTTCACTTTTCCCACACTACCACTATCAAAATTTTACATCCTATATAAAGATCTCGATATCTCGTAAAATCAGGCTGTAAATAAGCGTGGATTCCATTTAACTTCTCCCTTCCCAGCTCATAAAAAGAATTGAATAGAGCAGATATGTGAGAATAACATTTTACTGGAAAGAGCATGAAATGCATGACTATAGCGAGCCGAACCAGCCCAACCTAATATCTCTGGCTTAAAAACATCGATTCAGGGTGGATGAGCAAATAGCGAGATCTTAGGGCCTCCCTTTTCATGTGCGAATATGAATGAGTGATGGGAGGGTCAGAGGCTTTGTCGCCATCATAGATAAGCCTGAGAAGCACTTTTAAATTAAGCCAAGAATCTCTTAAACAACCAGGACAGATAACCGTCTTGTTCAGGTGATTCTTGTTTTTACCTTTGAATTTTTATGGTAAACTATGAGGCTAAAGTACTAATTAAATATTAAAATTTATAAAATTCTCTTAAGCTAAGTTTTATGCATGAGCAGCTCATTCAGGTCTGTTTTTCAATTGTGTGTGTGTTTGTGTTTATATAAACACATCTCTCTTAGAGATCAAAGCAATGCCTCTCAACCAAGTAATGATTTTTTTTATTTGTTCCAGGGTGAAGAACTTAGCGGCCTTGATGTCAAATCTCTTGAAGAAATGCAAAATTGTCATGTTGAAGCTTTATCAAAAATATGCCAAGAAAAGGTATTTTCTTTGATGTTGCAATAATTTTCTTCACATGTCCGCTATCTGGATTTTGTCAATTTTTTCATTCCACAGGTTTCCTCATTCTAGTATACCTCCCTAAATCATGAAGTTGAACTTCTTTATTTAGTTTGTTTGTCTCTTTTTTTATGTTTCGGCAGTTAAAAACTGGTTTTGTCATCTTCTGTATTTTTCTTGATAAGTTGTGCTAAAATGTTGCGAGATAGTTTATTGATTTCTTGTCAATATTTCATTGTTTTTTTTATCATTTGTTAATTTTAGTTAACAATCCGGATTATTTTCTAATATTTTGGTGTCTTATTATGTGATCTGTAGTTGATAAACCAATCTCTGTTGAATCAAGAAGATGAGACGGCCAACTGAAAGTGATGCAATACTTCTTTTTTTTTTCCCATTACCACAGGTTAGGCATTATTGGTGTTTAGTAATCGTACTTTGAAGCATCACATTTCTCCTACACATTCCATTTTTTATTGTAATATTTTACCCTTTTTTTCTCTTTAGATCAAGTGGTAATTTTTTTACCTGTTGAGTTTTGATCCTTAGAAGTCCAATTTTAAGGTCAAAAGTTGGGCGGTATGGAATGGCAATCTTGTTGAAAAGATGATAAATTGAACATTCAACAGCAAGGTTTCTTTGCTAGACGTGAAGAACTTTTACCGAATGATGCTTTCTTTGATGAAAATGATAGTTAAGAAGAGCTTTTTCATATATTTTTTTATTATTTTTTGTCTATGCATATTGATATTGATTCATTTATTTTTTTTTATCTAGTAAAATCAAACGTTTTGTGGATATTAATTATGTTAGGATATTATGCTAAAAAAATTTTGACCATTCAAAAGCAAAGTTTCTTTACTAGACGTGAAGAACTTTTACTGAATGATGCTTTCTTAGATGTAAATGGTAGTTAAGAAGAGCTTTTTCATATATATATTTTTTTATTTTTTGTCTATGTATATTGATATTAATGTAATTTTTATTTTTTTATCTAGTAAAATCAAACGTTTTGTGCATATTAATTATGTTAAAACGTTTTGAGCCTCAAATTTCAATTATGTTTGTGTCCGTTAACTTAAAAATAGAAACTAATCATCATTACGAGTTATTCTCTTGAATGTTAATATGAGCAGGACACAGAAAAATTTTCATGGGAGGAATTATCAAATATATTTTATAGTGGTACCGGAGTTAATCAAAATCACAATAGAAAAAACAAATATTATTACTAAAAAGCAAATAGACAGTTACAACTAAACTCACCTGAAAGGGAAATTACAACAAACACGACCAAACTCACTCTAGGGCTTGATCCATGGGTGATGGAGGTCGGCTAGTTTATCGGGGAGCAGAGATAGGTGGCTGAAATTGGTTTGGGTTGGTTGAGACACCAAAAGGAGGTGTTGGAATTGTTTTGGCAGCGAAGCGGAGGGTTGGGACAGCGAGGGCAGCTAGTGGGGTGGCAAGCAGAGCAGCGAGGCACACTGGGAAGGGTTGGAACAGCCAGCGGAAAGTAGGACAACAACTTTGTTGTTTTCCGGATGTCAACAACAAAGGGCAAAGCAAGGAACTGCCAGGATAGCAAGGGGCGGCTGTATGGGGAAGTGGCAGAGGGCAAGAAGGGCTGGAATAGGAAGATTGCCTTAAAAAACATCATTGAGTGTTGTTTTGGGCTGCTGTAGCTATTGAGGATGACCAATAGCATCATGGGGAAGATAGCAGGAACTGACGCTACATCTCAATTTTCATTTTGAACTAGGTAGGAATTTTATCTTTTCCTTGTTGTTGGTGTAGGTACTGTGGATTTTTTCACAAAAATAGTGCACTCTTCTTCAGTTTGTTGTGGCTAGTTTCTCAATTCTATCTTATGGGGCGTTTTGACACTCAAAGACATATTCTAAATTCAAAGCCACTTGATGTCCCCATACGGATCCTTGTGACCATTGAAATATGTTAAATCTACCTTTACTTTAAAATTCTAATTTCTGGATATTTTAGGTCACTCTTCGAGATAGAGGTTCTTCATCCCTGGAATCCACATGATGGAAGAGGTTCACTCCATCCATTCGGTCTAGAATGTCATCATTGTAGCTACGGGTGGCCCATTTGGATTGTCACCTCTCAAAGGTGGTAAGCTTCGGTTTTAGTTGGTGTGTTTCCCATTGTATTCCTCCCTAGAAATCTTTTGGACACCCCTTTCTACATTCTCATTAACGGCACTGCATCATTTCCCGTCAATCAAGCTTCCGACAACTATCTTCTTAGCGTCATGGCTAGGTTTTGAGTGTGGGCGGGTGAAAGGAGGTGTTTAAGGGTGATGCGATGTGAGAAGAAAAAATTTTAAGTGGAGATAGATTTGATGTGGCGGATACTAGAAATCCTTGGATATGACTATGGTTAGGCTAGATCTAATACCAAATGATATCAAAGTTAACCCAAACCATAATAGGAAAAATAAATATTATTACCGAGAACAAATAGGTGGTTACAATCAACACACTTGAAGTGAAAATACAATAACATGCACCCGAAAATCTGAAACTGTAACAGACATGACACAAATGATCAGATTAGGGTGGGATATCGGGGTTGTGGTGGTGATCGACGAGGATTTAGAAGGTGGCAATAAGGTGGGAGTGTGGAGCAAGGGGCAGAGATGACAATGTGACGATAGATCATTGTTGTTCTGGGCGACAGCAAGGTGGAATGGGGGTTCTCGAGGGCTGTGGCAGTGAGAGGTGCAAGAGGGTTGGGACAACAGTTAGGTGGTAGGGATGTGGCCTGGGATGACGTGTACAGCAGCCGGTGGGAATGGAAGAGGATTTATGGTCTCTGGAACATTGATGGCAGCAAGCAGGACCCCTCTCGAAATGTAGGAAATGGATCATCACCCAAACCCTTGGATACAGTTCTCTATGGGAGAAAACGGATGCCGACGGCTATCCTAAACAAAATACTCCAAAAAAAATTGACTTCCGAACCTTAATACAACACATATATAAGAAATGATTAAAAAAGAATGAATGTTAATAGGAAAAGAAGCATAAAAAGGAAAACAAGATTATTTTGGCCCGTCTCCCGCAATAGCTATTCTCATGGTACTGTTGCAGTTGCATTACTGCTAGAATTTTGGGCGGTAAGCACCTGCATCACGAAGGCTCTTGGGTAGCTCCTGCGTCATATAGGGTTTATGAACATGACGTGCATTGCAATCGTAGGTGGTGAAATAGATAATGGCATAACTACAAAGTTAAAATTGAAATGTTCATTTAAGATGGCAAGATATTAATATTATATTTTATTGTGTGATGGAGATGAATAATTTATTTGACTAGAAAGAGATGAATAAGATTTTTTAAAATAAAACCCGTCGTGGTACACATGGTTATGAGGAGAGTGGAATAATTAAGACTAGAACCTTTCACTATTTTGTTTAAGATGAAATTACTGGTGAGTGAATCTTAATTATTTTACTGTGATAATTTGCTTGATCTTTATTCAAATCCTGAAAACAAAGAATGAAATTTGCGATAAAATACATGATTAAACCTCAACTTTTGCTGCTTTGTTCAGAGATTATTTAGGTTTTATTTGAGACCTAATATCTAGAGAGAGATGACAACACTTTATATTTTATCAGTTGAGAATGCTTTTGACTTAATTGGATTACGAACAAATTAAATGCTAAAATTTCATATTTAGAAGGTGATTATATTCTGGCAGTGCATTATTTTATTAAATTTGTGAAATTGTATCTGCTACACGTACACTCCTAAAGTAACATCAGAGTTGAAGAGATTGAGTAGATATCATCTAAATATGCATTTAGGTTTGAGATTTCTATCTCTTTGTGTGTTGAAGTGTTACCAAATTAATCATTATATTAATGAGTACCTTGGTAGGACTTTACATATTATTATAGAGATTGAAAATAAAATCAATGAGTATGATGATTGTCATTAGTTTGATTAGGAGATTAGTGATTCTTAGGATAATGTTTTGAAAGTTCAATGTCATGTGGTCTTAGTTATGCGAGTTTTAGGTTAGATTAAAAAAAAAAATCAATTTTTAGAATCATGTCAAAAATGATGAAAATTTTTTAAGCTTATCATTTATAGTGAGAGTTTCATGAATGACATGATTTAAGTTATTATATAGATTGAATGGTTCGAAAACTCAAACCAGATTCATAATCATACGAGTTAGCATGTGCAGACAAAATTGTTAAGTTCTGTCTCAAAGATATTTTTTCTTTTGCAATTAGCTATCGATTACTAATATAATTTGGTGGGTTGTGTTGTCCATTGATGTTGCTAATGTTATTCTTTGTGGATCTTAGTTTTATGATATTATGATCTAGATGTTACTTTTTTTAGGTTTAATATTTATGTTTTCAATACTAATGGGAGTATGGTAGTTTTGAAATCTACAGAACTGATGGGTAAATAATCTAGTGCATTTAGTTGAGCTAAAAAGCATTTCCATATTCTAGTTAAAATTGCATTTCAACAAGATGTTAAGCTGGACGGCAATGATTAGAAAATTAATTTTTATTTCTAAAGATTTGTTTTATATAAGTATTTAGTGATGAGTAGAAAATTACTTTTTTGTGATTAATGAATCATATTACTTTACGTTGAGCAGTTTATTAATGTTTGCTTCAATGTTATTGATTTACATCAAAGCTCAGGATGATCCTTTGGTGCTACATAGGCAAGTTTTTTTAATAAAAAAAATAAGAAATTATATTTGCTTCTCAGATCTTTCATAATGCTATCTATGATTTTTTAAGAATTTTTTTTAACTATAGGTTTTTGTATATTCTAATAAGATTTAAAAAAATTAAGAGTAGACCAACATTAAGCAATATTTGTGATATTCTAAGGATCTGTTTGGGGCAGCTGAAGCTGTGAAGCTGCTGAAGAAAAAGCAGTTCAAAAAGTTACGCTCCCACTAAAAGTAGTTAGGAAAATGCTGCTTTTAGCTGTAGCTTTTTGAGAGCACAGGCAAAACGCAGTTTTGTCAACCAGGAAAAATTGCAGTGCGACACTGCTTCGCCACCACACCACTTCCCCAAATGCACCCTACGTGCTCTACTTTTTTTTCATAGATGCTTTAGTTTTCATTGCTCTCTATAAGAGTTTTAGTTTTGTCTTGACTGCAGTTACAAATTACCATAAGAAAAGTGGAATTTAGATGCTCTAAATTTACTTTTCACGCTTTTATTGAGAGCAAGAGAGAATTATAAATGCTCTTTTGCGTAAATTTCCTGATTTTAATTGTGAGATTTCTTATGTGGTGTTTGTGTCGGTGGAGTTTTGAGCTAGGAGGGATATCACATTGCCTTTTTTTAATTTGGTGTGAAGTTAAATGAAGCTAAATAAACATATTCAAACTACGATGGTTCATTCTTTGTTTTTTCTATAAGCTTCTCATTTGTGGATACAATTTCTCATTTTTGGAGACATTAGTTGTTGCCTACTGTATTTGTACTTTGACTATCAAGCTTGACAACATCTATGTTTGCAAAAGTAGTTGGACATAGATATGCAAAATATGTCGAGTATTTCAAGGAAATTTGTCTTGAAATGTTGTATTGGAACTTATAATAAAACTATTGATGCATTGAGTAGAGTTGCTATTATTTACATTTTGTGCAAGTTAGAGAGAATAGTTTTGCATGTATGAAAGTAGATTATGTCACTTGTATTGACTTT